AATTCCTTGACGCCTAGTCTCCGCCTAGACTCCCTGCGCGGAAGCCTTCTGCGCAGGGAGGGTGTGGGCAGCGGAGGACCCGTACTCTCTCCGCTGGTCTCCGGTGAGGAGTCTTGGAGCCTCCTCTCCGATTCCCCCATCTGCCCCCCTTCTCTACTGGTGTTACGCTGATTTCCTTCCCCAGCGGATGGGCTGCCTCTCTCCCTACTGGGACCCTCTCCGCCATCCCTCTGGAGCCTTTCCTCCGCCTCTAGCTCCGATGGCAGTTCCCTGACAATTATTTTTAAAGAAAAAATTATATTGTAAGGCATTTGTCTTAGAGTACCACACTATCTTTTATTCTTCCATTTATAAACACATTTCTCTGGTGCACTGGCAGAGGAAGAGGGGGGCGGGGGGAGCATACCGCCCCCGGCACCACGATCCCGGTGGGGTGCCATCACAGGCGGTGCACCACGCCTCCAGGATGCATGCCACGCCCCCTGGGACATGTGCCAGCCACACCCCCGCCTGCTCTCCGCCACTGCTCTGGTGAACTATGTTGGAATTAAAAATGCTGCCTATGAAACAGTTGCCTCTCACAGTTCAGAAACTGACTGGACCTGAAGCCAAATTTTACTTCAAGACGAGGGATGGGACAATGTCTTCCACTGCACTTGAGGGCAGCAGGTGGACTGAGAGGGGCAGATTGTGAGGTGTATGCACAGCTCTGTCCTACAACAACTTCTTGCTGCTCCCTGCCCCATATCAACAGCTGCCTAATACAGCTGCTTCACTCTGCCCAAGAGAGGGGCAGGCCCTAATGGGGTGTGATTGTCCTTTGTTAAATCACTACTGGTTAAAAATACTTAACTGATGATACCTCCCTTGGTGAATAGTCCCAGAGTTAACTTGTTGTTGTTGTTTAGTCGTTTAGTCGTGTCCGACTCTTCGTGACCCCATGGACCAGAGCACGCCAGGCACTCCTGTCTTCCACTGCCTCCCGCAGTTTGGTCAGACTCATGTTTGTAGCTTCGAGAACACCCACCAGGGAAGAATGGCAGATGAAGTTGATGGACTACATGGAACTGGCGGAAATGACTGGCAGAATTCGAGACCAGGGAGAAGAGTCGGTGGCAGAAGATTGGAAAAAATTTAAAGTATACTTACAGAAACATTGTAAAATTAATGAGTGTTAGAAGGATGCGGGAATGAAGTTACATGGTTTTAGTAGAAATGCAACAAAGAATTAAGTAAAAGTAGATTGATAATGGGCTAAATTGAAAAAATTCAAGGTTAGACCGTTAAGATAAATTATAGAATAAAAATTGAGAAAGATGGGAAGAACTTGCTGAAATAATGAATTGAATTAGAATACAAAAAAAGGGAGGTGTGAGGAGGTCGATGAAACAAGCAAAGGAAAGGTAAAGATATGGAATTCTGGATGTTTTAGTTTTTAGTTTTTAGTTTTTCTTTCTTGCTGTATTGCTGTATGGCTTTTATATGTTTTATAGGTTTCGTTATTGTCCGTTTTCTTTTTCATTGTTATTTTCTTTTCTTTTTTCTTTTTTCTGTAATTTTTAAACTTTTAATAAATATCATTAAAAAAAAAAAAAGAGAACACTGTCCAACCATCTCGTCCTCTGTCGTCCCCTTCTTCTTGTGCCCTCAATCTTTCCCAACATCAGGGTCATTTCCAGGAAGTCTTCTCTTCTCATGAGGTGGCCAAAGTATTGGAGCCTCAGCTTCAGGATCTGTCCTTCCAGTGAGCACTCAGGGCTGATTTCCTTAAGAATGGATACGTTTGATCTTCTTGCAGTCCATGGGACTCTCAAGAGTCTCCTCCAGCACCATAATTCAAAAGCATCAATTCTTCGGCGATCAGCCCTCTTTATGGTCCAGCTCTCACTTCCATACATCACCACTGGGAAAACCATAGCTTTAACTATACGGACCTTTGTTGGCAAGGTTAACTTAAGAGCCTTAATTGTCTTTAATCACTGAGTGGGCGGGGGTGGGGTGGGGATGTTTTTTCTTATAGCTGATAAGAAGCTAGTAAGATGGGTTAGAGCAGGGGTGCCCAAACTTTTTTCAAAGAGGCCCGGATTTGATGAAGTGAACAGGGCCAACCAAAGTTTTTGAGCTTTCTTTTTAGGACTGAAGTTGCTGAACTGTTTAAAGGATTTAACCGCAAAGTTGCTGAGCTTTTTTTTTTGGATTTTACCCCAGGACATATACTGCCATGGGATTAAATTGACTGCCGGGCCCCCAAAATGGACTTTGGACACAGGGGCGTAGGAAGGGGGGGCGGTCTGCCCCAGGTGCCATCATGGAGGGGGGTGACAAATTATTAAGGAACAATTACTGCCCTACTAGGGCGGTTCATAAATTATTATTTTTTTGAAAATGCCTGCTCCAAAGGTCTTATCTTACTACACTAAGGATTATATAGCTATATATGAAATTTCATGCATATCAATTAATGTTTTTACCCTCCTCCACGAAAATAGCTGTTTATTTGGCCGTTTTCCTTTGTCATGAAGGCTGAAATTTCAGTTCAGTGAAGCAGGGTCAAGATATTAACTGATATGCATGAAATTTCAGATATAGCTATATAATCCCTAGTTTAGTAAGATAAGACCTTTGGAGCAGGCATTTTCCAAAAAAAAGTTTTTTATGAACCACCCTACTGCCCTACCCTCCGCTGGGCTTCCCTCCCCCACCTCCAGTCTCTGTTGTTGTGTCTTTATCCATCGTGTGTCCTGTCTGTGGGGGAAAACAGAAGAAGGATAGCCATCGGTCAGGGATGGTCTAGTTGAGATTCCTGCATTGCCCCAGGGGTTTGGCTGGATGACCCTCAGGGGTCCCTTTCAACTCAGCTTGGGGATAAGTCCCACTGATCATGATGAGACTAGATTGCTACTGTGCAGTCCTGTTTTTTAAATTAATGTTTTCCTTTTCAGATAATACAGAAAATGGTGAAATCACAATAAATAAAACATCCCCTTCAGTAGTTTAAAGCACTACTACAGGTTCCACATAATATGGTGGCTGGGGAGGCCCAGCCAGATGGGCGGGGTATAAATAATACATTATTATTATTATTATTATTATTATTATTATTATTATCTGTACTGCATTGTTTACTGTGACAGCACTGGCACTTTGCAATTCCCCGCCTATTGCAACAAAGCATGTGCCTTTGCTAGACTCTCTTCGGGCACCTGCTAAAAGCATTCTTCTTTAGGCAAGCATACCTAGATGCTTAGGAAGTTGAAGTAATTTTAATCTTAATATTTTAGCTTTTGTATGTTTTAAGGTAGGATTGTTAATTTTTCTTGATTTTACTGCTGTGGCGTTTTTTGTTTTGGTAAACCACTCTGCAGGTTTTTTAAAAATAAATTTTATTAAATAAATAAACAATAAATATAAATAAAATAACACAAGCCAAAACACAATCCATCCTGTAGATTTAAGTATCTGTCCGTAGCTACCTACCGTATTTTTCGCTCTATAAGACGCACCAGACCATAAGACGCACCTAGTTTTTGGAGGAGGAAAACAAGAAAAAAAATATTCTGAATCTCAGAACAACAAGAGGGATCACTGCACAGCGAAAGCAGCGATCCCTCTTGCTGTTCTGGCTTCTGGGATAGCTGCGCAGCCTGCATTCACTCCATAACACACACACACATTTCCCCTTACTTTTTAGGATGGAAAAAGTGAGTTATAGAGCAAAAAATACGGTACTTGTTATCAGAGGCCCAGAATCCACATTCTTTTGTAAGAAAATATAAAATAATGTAAAACCATTTTTGCAGGCCAAAAAAATAATTTAAAAAAATCAATGGGGGGTGACAATAAATTTTCCACACCAGGTACCACCTGACCTTCCTACGTCTCTGTTTGGACATGCCTGGGTTAGAGTGACAGTTTTGTGGACAGACAGGAGCAGAGGTTGAGAGAGAGGGGAGGAAGGGGAGGGGGAACTGAGGTTCTTTAGGCAGTGTTGATGAAATGAGGGGGTGCAGCCTTAACTATCAAAGTAGGTCTTTGGGGACAAGCTATCTGCTTTTGTACTGACTGCTTGTGCTCTGTTTGGATGTATGTAAATAACAGGATTATTAAAGAAAACCCCTAAACCTCCAGTGCTTTCATCTAAAGGCAACTAAACTCAGGAGTACCGCTGTGGAACTTCACTGCTCAGAAATAGAGCACATAATAAAATGTAGGGTGGATTCTTTCACCCCCTTTTTTGCATGCAATGTTCTTAGACCACAACAGCTTTAAAATGAGAAACGATAACTGATCACATACCCCCAGTCTAGAGTCTTCAGATGACAAACTGATTAAACGATCTTTCCGGTTTGACGCAAGCACCAGAGCCATGCAAATATTCATCATCGCCAGCATGTGCCAAATGTGTGATCTGTCTTCTTAGACAAACAGGATTGCAATCCTGAGCATACTTATCCAGGAGTAAGTCCCACTGAAGTCAGTGGAGACCTTCTGAATAAACATGGATAGGAATTTGCTACAAGGCAGAGTGTCATCTAACAGGTGACCAGATGCTGAATAAAGCAGGACAGAATGATGAAACGTTTCCTTAGTATATTCTAGGTATTTGCAAAATGTATACATTTCCCTGGTTACCCAGTGACCTTGCTGACATTTCCATTAACGAGAAACCTACAGGCTGCTTGTGGGTCAAGTGGACAGACAGGCGTGTTGAGTCTGAAGCCATCTGGGAGGTCAAGACTTCTTACATCCAGCATTACAAGTATGAAATGGTTTGGTGGCTGATTTGTAAATTCTCTGGTAAGCTTTGAGATTGCCGCTCCTGAGCTCATCCTGCATAACTCACTGACAAGATTTGTTGCCAGTGCCACACCCAAAATGCCACCCATTCAATGCACAAAGTGGACAATCACCTTAGATTGAATCATAGAATTGTAGAGTTGAAAGGGAGCCCGAGGGTCATCTAGTCCAACCCTCCGCAATGCAGAAATCCTGCCCATACCCATCCCTTGGTGGGCTCAAACCACCAACCTTCTGGTTAGCAGCCAGATGCACTGACCTATCCCTTGGACTATCCCTTTTTATATTCAGTTAAGATGATCCATTGACCATCCCAGCAGAAGTTTTTTTGGCCATTGTACAGAAATCTAATGTGCTCATTATTTCATCCTCTCTATTTGTGGCTGCCTGGTGTCTCAGAGGAAGGAAGAAAACCTTTCAAGATCTAGGTTACAAAAACACAACTGTTGTATATTCCAGAGGGCCACCACCTAGGCACCAGATCACAACATCATAAGAAGAAATGCTCTTGGAAAAGGCACCAAACCACTGAACCAATTCAGGCCAAAAACTATATTTTGAGAGCCTGCAGGCAATTCATCTATGGTTTAATTTAGCAATAATTGCTCATGGCCTCATGCTAGAAAATGTTAAAATAGTTTTCATAAATGAATCCAAGTCATATTCAAACCGATAAGGGTCTTTGCTCTCATGAGGGTTTCTTACACATATGGGGGGTTTTTTGGAGGGGGGTCTTCTGAGCTGCAGTCTAAATTTATTAATTGACTTTTCCTAGCCTTTTGTTCTCATCTATACATATCCAAATGCAGCCAGGGCAATCCACACATGGATTGCCTGCTGGGTCAGGAGCCACGTGGGTGGTTCCTAGGACTGCATCCCTACATGAATTGCAACTATGCTCCAAAACTGGAATCGTGCATGCAACACTGAACAGATGGCTGGCACACTCAGCTTCCACAGTAACAATCACCTATTTGGGGATTTTTTTTAAAAAAAGTAGAGCTACAAAAAGAAAAGTCAAGCAATCTGCTAGGAAAAATTAAATATTCTTCTTCTTCCCTGGCTAATCCACCTCTCGTATGAAAAAAAAAAAGTTTCTAAAACTCTTCTGAAGAGGAAAAATGATGTGTGGTCTTGTTTCAACTCAACTAACGAAACTAAGGCTGTGTGTGCAATACTGTTTATTCTAGCTCCACTGCCCTCCCAACACTACCATCTGAAGCCATGTACACAGGACATTAACTACAGCCCACATATATCCTATAGTTTCTTGAGAATTACTGCTCTTTGATGTGTTTCCCCTCAAACCAGCTTCCATCCAATCTGAAAATGTTCACTTCTCAGCTAAGTTGAAGTGTGTACATTTGAGACAGCTGCTGTGCATGTGCAGATGACAGCTCCATGAATAGGCATTTTTTGTTTGCAGGCATGGAGAAACCAAACAGGCAACGCACACCAGGTGAAGACATCTCTGCCACCTCTCGGAGGCGCACAGCAATGTGCAAATGCAACTTGAAATGCAGTGAAATGCAACCTCATTGTATTTTAAACTGTTGATGTGTTCATGGCCTAAGGATGTCAAGATCTTTTGGAAACTAGTTAACAGAGGTTGCCAGAGTTATCAGGATCTGCTCTTATCACAGGTACCCAATTCCATCTGGGAACATTGTTAACACTATTATAGTCAAATCCCATACATGTCTGTTCAGAAGTACCTATGTCCCACTGTTTTGTTTTTTAAATCTTATTTATTGATTTTCCACCAAAAAAACTTTATAAATGTTAACACAGACTGTAAGTTATTTTATCCCAGAGGTCGGCAACCTAAGGCCCATGGGCTGGAAGCGGCCCATGAGGGTCGCTTAACTGGCCCATGAGTCGCCCCCAAACTGAGCCGCCCACTTGGCGAGTCCCCGCACACTGCACTAAACTGGCGCAGCGCAGTGCAGCGTGGGGACTCTCTTCCACAACTCCGCCCGAGGAGCCAACATGGCGCCGAGGTAAGACGCGCTTACCGGTGCTCTTCGGACTTCTTTTAATCTTTTTTAATCTTTTATACTTTTATCTCAACTGACTCAGTCAGTTTTTGAAGTATTTTATAATTGCTGCAGCCGCATACCTTGGAAACTCTTTGAGAGATTTGGCCCTGCTCCAGACTGCTGCAAGCCGCTCTTTGTTTCTCTCATATCAGCGGGCTGGCTTTAGCTGCTAAAGGAGTTGAGAACGCCATTATCTTAATTGCGTGTTAAGTGTTATGTTATTTTAAGAATCGTATAATCTCTGGCCTGAGGAAAGCATGGGTCAGAAAAACGCTTGAGAGACTTTGACGAGCCCCTATCATCCCCTAAACCAAAACTATCAAGGTTGGTGCCACACCGGAATGGAGGAGGGAGTGACCATGCCGAGCAATGCTTTGCAGTGGAAACCCAAAATCGCTTCCAACCTCTAATTGATTTAGAAGCTACTCCGATTCCGATGACTCAAAATGTTTCAAATGTAAAGCCTGTAAAGGAGAATACGAAAGAAAAACTCTCATCGCAGGAAGATGGTTTGGCATCTGTTATGGGGAGTTCCCCAGTTGTGAGCAGTTACACTTAGTAATTAAGACCCTTCACTGTATTTTTAAAAGGCTGGACGAGGTATCTTCACAATTATCCAATATCCTGCTGAAAATCGGAAAACTTGAATCAACAACACAATCCTCAGTTTGTGAGGTCAAAAACTTATTGCCTCACCCCCATTCAGATAAAATACTGGAGACTAAAACTAAATATGTCTTAAATTCCCAATTGAACAATCAGATATTAACTTTGCAACCCAAGAAAAGTTGCCTTTCTGTCAGGTCGGAAATAGGAAGATGGTCAACGCTAGAAGGAGCTAAAGACTGCTTAAGCAAACTTTTAAAAATTAAGAAATATCAGATTGACCTATATGCTGTAATGCCCCTTCCCGGCAGACCAACTTCTTGAAGGTGATACTTGCGTTCCACTCTGAAAAGATACCATCTATTATTGTTAGGAGGAAAACGCTTTTGTCCATGGCCGACATTGTAGCAACGAGGGTTTTTACAGACAGCAAGATCAAACCCCTTCTAAATAGGTGCCCTGGCGGTGAGGACATTAGGACAAGAGACTCTGCCTTACCTCAAAATACTGTCAGGCCCAATCGCGATGACTCTGCAGCGTGCCATCCGCGACCAAACTCGATACCCTCTCAAACTGCTATATATGAGGATGATAATCTGCAGACTGCCCTCGACGAAAGGGAACTTATTGATTCATTCAGAGCCCTTCCTCCGAAAGAACAGTCGGTGATGATGCAAAGATTTGACACGCTTAAATCTCAGCTTTTGCAAGTCCAACATAGAGGGGAAGATACTAACGATGTCTCAAATAATCCCACTTGGGCCCACCGGACAGAAGTGGTTGACCTTCTTCAGCTCAGTCCCACTCTGAATTCAAAAACCATCCGACAAGACTCAAATCTTCAAGTTGCTTCTGCAGCGTGCGCTACATCACGAGACGACCAGGCTCTGCCATCCTCACTGAACCTTCATCTATATTCATCAACCAACATACCTAAGGACGAAATTCTGATTTCCCTGCTTGACTCAAATCCCTCTTTAACTCACTCATCTATGCCAGAGCTAGAATCTTCTCCAGTTTCGTCCAGATATAGAAGTAGTCCACAAGTGATGCCCCTGAGAGAGTCTTCCGCAATTTCCACCTCCGTGATGCCCCCTCAATTACCTCCTTCAAAGGAAACTGCGAATGTTACACCTCGGGACCCGCCGTCAGAAATGATTGAAGACCCGATGGGACGCATCAATAAAATAATCCGAATGTCGGATGACAAATCTGCGAGAGGGTTAACCCGACGGACTCAATTTCCCCTACCTGGGTATTTCTCTGTCAAGTTGTACCAAGAATTTCGAAATGAAGAGACTTCCTGTTCAGAGACCTACTTTCAGTGGATCATCCACGGTGTGCCAACAGTCGAACCAAATTGTTAAAAACTTTAATTTGCAGGGCGCCTCACAGTTACCATCCTCCCAAAGTAAAATAACTGACTTTTTTTGTTACATCTTCTGTCTCTAACAGAGAGTCTGCCCCCCCTCCATTTTGACTGTTAAAAGAACAACATAGAAGTCCCCAGCTAGCAGTCCTAAGTTGGAACATTGCTGGCTGGAAAAGGAAAAGATTAGATCCCGAATTTCTGTCCTATATAAACTCTTTCCAGATAATCCTTTTGCAAGAAACATGGGAAGAAGATAAAATAGATATAAATGGCTTTGAACTGATATCACTTCCAGCTATCCCCTCCCAGAAAGGTGGCCGGTCCAGAGGCGGTCTTGCAATCGCCATATCGCTTAAAATGAGAGCTAAACTCTCGCTAGTTCATACCTTTCCTCCTTTTGCTTTTACTGGTCTGATTTCAAGTGAAAAATTCTCACTATTAATCACCAATGTTTATCTTCCTCCAGGTGGTCTGATATCAGACCTTCATTATAGATGGGATTCTCTGGAAGATCATTTATTGGCATGCTATGTTAAGTACCCTAATATTCCATCGATAATGGGTGGTGACTTCAATGCACGTACAGCTGCCAACTGGAATGGGATAATTAAGGCCAAGTGGTGGGTATCTCCCCCCTACCCAAAATCTGATTTAATCTCTTTCACATCAAGAAGATCTAAGGACAACAGAGTGAATGAGGCGGGAGTCCTTCTTTATCAATTGGCCATTCGTATGAATTTGAACATTCTAAATGGCAACTGCCCTCCGGACGTGCCAGGTGAATTCACTCATTTGGGCACAAAATCAAATAGTGTCCTAGATTATCTTCTAGTCTCAGAAGACCTATTTTCAAATTTCTTTTATCTCAAAGTAGATAATGTACAATCCAGTGATCACCTACCTCTAGCGGCCAAGCTAACGCTTGACTGGCACCCGGTTAGCGGAACACACCCAATTCATGTAGGTTTAAATGCCACAGCTCAAGTAAGAGGCATTAAATGGTCCATGAAACAGGCCCAAAAATATGCAGAATTCTTCCAGAGGAATAGCTCCGAATCCCTTATTGTTTCATTGGCGGAGCTGTCTGAACCAAATAGGATACTGGAGTGGTTCGCCCACTTCTCTGCAGATTTAACTAGTTTCTTTACGATGCCGGCTCACCTCGCTAACCGAGAACAACCCAGGTTCGGTGCACCTTGGTTTGATGCCAAATGTAAGCAAGCTAGACTCTCTCTCTGTTGTATCTACAACAGATATAAAGCCTCTGGAGCTGAAACTCTCCCCCCAGAGTACTTGCAGGCCAAAATTGCTTACAAACAGGCTCAGAAGTCAGCCAAGCACGAGTGGCAGCTAAGACGTTGGCAAGCGCTGATTGCTGCCTCTAAGCTTCGCAGCTCTCGCGGTTTTGGAATTTAATCAACAAAAGATCGAGGAAATACCCATTGACGGTTATCCCAGCCCCGACATGGGAACAATTTCTAAGAAAATATTTCTCCCAGACAGACATCTCTAACATCCAATCTGATACTCTCTCAAGTCACTTGCCCATATGGCCAGATACTGACCCGGAGGAAATAGTAGATTTAATTGCCAAACTGAAAACTGATAAAGCCCCAGGGCCCGATCTGATCCCGGCGGAAGCTATTAAACAACATCCAATATGGTGGGCTAAAATTCTTGCAAAAATCTTTGATGCAATCAATGCCACGGGCCAGATACCTACATCATGGAAGGAGTCCATCATAATTCCTATATATAAAAAGGACCACCAGAGGACCCAGGAAACTATCGTAATATCAGTTTATTATCAATCATCGGAAAAATCTACACTCGCTTCTTGCTAACCAGACTAACCCAATGGGCCGAAGATTCCAATCTGATAGGCCATGAACAGGTCGGGTTTAGACCAAATCGCGCTTCTATTGACCATGCTATAATTCTATATCATTTGGCGCGGAAATATTCTTCCCCTACTCATGGTCTTCTATGTGCCGCTTTTATAGACCTGAAGGCGGCTTTTGACAGTATCTCTAGAGAGCTGTTATGGGAAAAACTGGCAAAGTGGGGCATAGAAAAAAGGCTGTTGTGGCTATTGATTAAATTACATGAAGGGACGGCTGCTAGGGTGAGGTTAACACCTGAGGGCGATCTAACAAACTCAGTTCCAATAAACAAGGGCGTACGACAAGGGTGTATCCTTGCCCCTATCTTTTTAACCTCTATATTAGTGACATGAGGACGCCCCTAGCTGAGGCCCAAACCTCCATTCATGCACCCAGGCTTGCAGACTATCGCTGCCCCTTATTATTGTACGCTGACGATGCGGTGATCCTCTCTTATTCTCGAATCGGTTTGAGGAGGGCCCTTAAGATTTTTGCATCATATTGCCAAACAAATTTACTCACTATTAACCATTCCAAATCTAAAGTCCTAATTTTTCCAGGAGTCGTAAACTGTATAGATGGGAACTTGAGGGAAGCCAATTGAACAAGTTTACAAATTTCAATATCTCGGAATTTACTTCCAGTATAATATGGGATGGAAAGCGCATATCACATATTTACAAAACAAGGTGAAAGCCCTTATCTACGCTATACTACGCTTCTTCTTTACTGAGGGGCTATGCATGTTCCATCCGCCTTAAAAGTTTATAGTGCAAAAGTGGTTGCAACTATGGCCTATGCGGTCCCTTTATGGGGCGTCTTTGTAAACCTCTTGCCTCTGGTGACATTGCAAAATCTTTTTCTAAGACGCCTTTTGAAACTACCCTCCTGTGTAAGCAACTCTGCCATTCGCTTAGAACTTAAGACCCCCTCCCTTGAGATTCTGATGTGGAGACATGCCTTTAATTATTGGCTGTCCCTTTGGCATAAATTGCCAAACTACCATCTTATTCAGTGCCTTTGGAGAGATGAATTCACCAGCCCATGGGCAACAAAAATCCATTCCAAACTGTTGTCTTATGGAATCTCTCCCTCCGATATACTTAATTTAGATCTAATTACAGCTAAAAAGGTCATCAAACAAAGATTGGAGGATGTAGATTTACAACAAAATCTTACCACAGGTGGAGGTACATGTTCCCCGATATATCAGGGCATTACATCTATGTCCCAGATACCTCGATATCTGTCTACTTTATCGGCTGCGTCGCATAGATTCGCATTTGTTAGAGCCAGATTTAATGTGTTCCCCTCAAATGTGCTGAGCAATAGATTTTCTAACGGTAAAATCTCTGTTTTGTGCGCATGTGACAACAAATCGATAGAATCCCTTTATCATATCTTGTTTAATTGCCCCTTATACAATGTTCCCCGATCAAGGATCCTGAGTTCAATCATCCTGGAAATTGCTGCTAAACCACCTGAATTACATCTAGCTTATCTACTCCAGGACATTGACTCTTATAGAACTTTACAGGTTGCTAGATTCCTGATCTCAGTTCTGTCTTATAAAAGACTTCAGGGAATGCTGCATGACTATTAAAAATTCAGTAAACTCTATGCACCATCTTTATCTTCAAGGCCATAACACGGTACAGTTAGAGATTATGCGTTGAAATATTTTAGTTGATATTTTAGATTGTAAAATGCTATTGATTTTATCTATTGATTTTTATCTATTGATTTGTTTTACCTTGTGGGCTTATAGCCGAATAAAGTATTATCTATCTATC